GAGCCCTGGAGGAATGCTGGTGATCCCAGTATTATCTGGGGTAGGTCAACCAAACATTCCTGTCGTTCAGGGTTCCCAACCTGAGCTTCCTCTTCAGGACTGTTTGGAGCTTATTCTTGCCTCTAAGAAGCCATGGGGACTCTACTTAAGGATAAAGTCCCAGAATCATCTTAGCCCGTCGCTGGAGCTCCTTCGTCGGGCCTATGACAGAGACCTACTGCACCACCCCACCTGGGTTAACATGGACGTAGCCCACGGAGCTTTCCATGTCCACGGCTATGTGATGGGAAAAGAGTTCTTGAGAACCATTGATCAAATCTTTCCATATGTGACCCTGGCTCCAGGTTGGCCTAAAGAGGTTCTCAATGAAGGCTACACACCAGAACTGGTGGAGGACATGGTGCAGCTCTTTCAGGGGGCCTGGCAAGATGTTTCACTGCAGCTTCAGGTCGAGGCACTGGACAGGACTGTGGCTGGATTTAAGAGCTTTATCCATGCACAATCACGCTTCTCGCTGACTCTAGAGAAGCGGGCAGAGGGCCGAGGCCTCAATTCTGGGATTGAAAGCTTAATGTCTATCCGAGCAGTGAACAGACAGCGGAGGTTCTACAATATGTCTAACATATTCAGAAAACATGTCTGAAAATCAAGATCATATATCTTGCAAAATCAACCATAATGCTGTTTAGATGGTCCACTGACAAGATAATGTACATAAATGTTCATTGAAAACTTGAGCGATTAATATTTAAAATAAATTGTTTCCTGGCTCTATAGAATTTAAATTATTAACACTACTTTTATTTTGCTATTTTTTTATACATACGATAGAAATAGTACTTTTTTAACCATCATTTATTTTAACTACATTTTTTAGTAATTGTCAGCAACTAAAACATCACTGCACCAAAAAATAATACTGAAAAAACAAAAATAGAGATGTGCCAAAAGGATAATTCACTTTGAAATGAATTTTTGGTATGTTTAGCTTACCTCAAGGGCATCCCAGATGTAGGTGTCTTTGTTTCCGCAGTAGTTTCAATTTTGATATTTTTAGGTCAAACCGTTCTTGTCTGTCAGTCATATAATGGAGGTCTATGGTCACCACTTCTGATGGATCCCAGTGTTAAAAAATAAAAATAGGTTTATTTTTAAAGTTATTTCAGCATGGATTGCTGTTATGTGAACCTATCACATTGTAACAGAGGTTTTGCAAAATGGCTGTTACTGGACCCAGAGAGCTTAGTCAATGAAGATAACAACTTGTTTATTTACAAACCTCAGAAAAGGTACAGAAAATAGTCATGTGATTAAAAAAAAATAACCCTTTAGAAAGATTCAGTGAGTGAGTTAGTCTGGGTTTCCCCATGCTGCCTTCCCGCAGCACGATTTTATTCACGCTGAAAGGCAGTCTGGATACCATGGCCAGATTTTCGCCTAGTTTAGGGAACCAATCACAGAACGGGGAGGGAGCAGCAAGACGATGACGACATCTATGCGACATACCTGTCGCACCGAAGCAGTTGTTTATATCTATGGATTCAACATGGCGGAAGACGCGAAGCTACCTTTTGATGCAGCCTTAGATATTGTTTTAAGTAGTTTAGAATGCAAGTTTATTTAGAAAAAAGAGCCGCTTATGGCGTTAAACTTCGAGAGACCCCAGTCGTTATTGTTAATTCTCGCCATTAATCGCCATAATGGAGGACCAGTGTCCCGAGAAAGAAAATGCGATAAAGAATTGTCGATAGCCTACCAACTTCTGTTCGGCAGTCCTGAGGCCTGGATGAGCTCAAAGTAGCAAGACATGTTAGCCACGGAGTTGTAACGTTATAGTAACCTGCTAGGCATCGTCGTCGACGAAGTCCATTTAACTTATAAATGGTAAGTGGTATTTTATTAATATCATATGATATGGCCATTATGCCTGTAGACTACCTATTGTGGTTGTCACAGTGCCACTAAGTTGTGTTGCTTTTCAATATCAATACAGCAACCGCTTTAGAAGCATAACGTTCAGTGCACGTACCCGATTAAAGTTGTTGACACTTTAGTCATTCAATTAAATTAAATTTTTAATTTTTTAAACTTGTTAAGTACAAGCGCAAACAATTTCCAATGCAAATAACAACTTCAACAATGTTAAACTGTACTTAATACTTGTGTTTTTTTAATAGAAACGATTGATAGACATTCGTAAACCACGCCTCAAATACGGGAAAATGAACATTGGTGGTTCACTTCCCAGACCCAAGTCTATGAGTGAGTGAACCATATGACAGAAATTAATTTTAGGCTTATCTGTGACTCATTTAAATAATTTGTTCAGATGAATAATTCACAAATCAAACTCGTTTCACTTCATATTTGTCGTGAGCAACCAGTGTGGAAAATGCATTTCTTCACTGTTTTTAATTTATTGTATTATTTTGCACCACGCAGTCATTCCCTCTTATCACATTAAATTCAAACTGCAACCTCACAATCCAGTATTGGTTTTTCATTCAGTCCTAGTACAAAAATAATGGATCAATTCTGAATAAGAATCGGTTCTTAATTATGGATTTAAGAGGGTAAAAGAATAAAATGCTGCAAAAGTATTGGATCTGGCCCGTTTAAAAGCATTAACTTTTGATGATGAGTTGAGTCCAGCAGCAGGTCATAATGTGGAAGGGGTGAATGCGGGTGTGCTGACTATGTTGTCCAGCAGATACTGGCGGCATGCACAGAAATTAGAGTAGAAACTGGATGAGAGGCCTGCGATGTCAGTGGAGATGTATGGCATCACTTCTGGACTGGCCTGATTATAGTATGAAATCTGAGAGCAAAACGAGAAACATGTCACACATTCAGTGAGGAAGTACACAGTGAGCATCATGAAGGACTATTTTTAATTACCTTAGAGACACTTTTCGACACCTCATAAATGGTGAACCCAGCACAGACCACCTCGCCCCTGTTGAACCCCTCTGTGGGTGGATGAGTGGGTAGAGTGACTGATCGTAGGGCAATAACATACGGATCCCTTGAAAACATATATACATCATATGTATTATAGATTATGCTGCATTCATGCCATGTTGTGATTTACTGTAATTTATGGAAGCTTGTTTCCGCCACTGAATAAAAAGAAATAAATAAATAAACAATTGCGACTTTGTATCTCACAATTGCGAGATATGAAGTCAGAATTGTGAGAAATAAAGTCCCAATTGTGAGAAAAAAGACTGAATTGTGACTTTTTATCTCACGATTCTGACTTTTTTTCTCACAATTGCGAGTTTATATCTTGAAATTCTGACATCTTTTCTCAGAATTGTGAGATATAAAATCGCAATTGCGAGTTATCAGGCCAATTCTAAGGGAAAAGAGAATTATTCGAAATTCTCAGAATAGTTTATATCTCGTAATTCTGACTTTATATCTCGCAATTCTGACTTTATATCACGCAATTGCGACTTTATGACACGCAATTGCGACTTTATATCTCGTAATTCTGACTTTATATCTCGCAATTCTGACTTTATATCACGCAATTGCGACTTTATGACACGCAATTGCGACTTTATATCTCGTAATTCTGACTTTTAATCACGCAATTCTGACTTTATAACATGCAATTGCGACTTTATATCTAGTAATTCTTTATATCTCGCAATTCTGACTTTATATCTCGCAATTCCTACTTTATATCTCGCAATTCTGACTTTATATTTTGCAATTCTGACTTTATAACGTGCAATTGCGACTTTATATCACGCCATTCTTACTTTATATCTCGCAATTCTGAGAAATACAGTCAGAATTGCGAGATGTAAACTTGGATTGTGAGAAAAAAAATCAGAATTGTGAGAAAGTCGCAATTACCTTTTTTATTTTTCATTCTGTGGCAGAAACAAGCTTCCATAGTAATTACTAGATGATACTGTAATTATTTTTTTATTTTATGGACCTTTAAATTGCTAAATTGTATCAATAAATAATCATTCCTCAAATACTTTTAACTTAAATTCAAAATAACTTTCCAATACATGCATAACCAGCTCAAAATGTCTCACATTGGGTCAATTCGGTCCTCTGGGTCCTAAAGTCAGTTCTTGAGTGTCTCTTCAGTACACATTCAGATGCACATATAGACATTATAAAATCCTTTTTGGTAATGTTTTAGCATTTTTAGGTTTAATTTTGAGAATCTTTTAGGGTTTTATATGTATACTTTAGTATTCCTCGCATTCCTAAGGGATGGGAAGGATTTTGGTCACATAAACTCCTCGAATCCAGTAAAAAAATAAATGTGTATACGTTGTTCAAGTGCGACAAAATGTCTCAAACCCCTCCAATTAACAATCTTCGGTTTATGGGGGTTTTTTTGATCCCAAGGAAAAGATGAGGGTAAACTTAATTTAGTGAGACATTATATGTATTAAACTATGAGAAGAAATTGTTCAAATAGTTCAACAAAGATGTGAACGCTTTTTACAAGTTGGAATCTCGTAATAACAGTAACTCCGGCATGGCGTGAACATCTTTAAGCTTGCTTACAGGCAACGTTAAATCCAAACTGATCTTATGTACTTATTTACATTCAAATGTGTTTGTAAGCTTTGTCTTCTTTGTAACATTGGTTCACTCAGAAATGCCACAGAACTAAAAGAGGTAGCAAATATTATTTATGTAGACTTTAATAACACATCCTCACCCGCTATCACAAGGCGGTCTTCTAGAGGCCAGTAAAATGAAGTCCTGAACTTTTCCTCCTTCACTGACCGAAGGAGTAACTACTCTATAGATGAAATCATCCTCATTGACTCTAATGAGCGGCTCACACAGACTGTAAAATTAAAACAACACACACAAAAAAAATGTATACCACTTTAAACTGACATTGGGATTTGCGATTTTAAATCATTATATCTACTTGAAAAGTTACTGATGTGTTTGTACCAAACATTTCGGAATAAATCGACATGTGTCTGTGTGTAGGTGTCTCACGTGTAGTGTTCGTCCCATTCCTGTCTGCGGCTGATATCTGAGAGGAGGGTGAAGGCCCTTTGTGCTGGGACATCCATCTCAAACTCCACCCTGAAACACAGGCTCTGACTCTCCTCCACTGTATACAGACTCACCTGCTCAACGCAAGACAATGTGCATCTGATGTTACGGGGGGAACTTTATAATGTAAGACTGACGAATGGTGAGTAGCCCTTACATGACCCTTCTTTGAGCTGAGTTCCCAGTTGATTTTGGCAGCGAGCATTTTCAGGGCTGACACATTATTGTAGCTCAGATACACCTGAAAATGAGAATAATTCAGCTCAAATAAATCATCAATGCTGTCTGTCCATACAACAACACTGTATAACAGGGGAAAGGAGATGCACACTGTGAGTAAATGAAACCTTTGATAAATGTAGTACAAACATGTTTTAGTCAACATACGTTGGCAAGGTGTAACATAACACAATACCAAGCATATATTATAAGGAGTAAACAAGTATTTTTGAAAATTGTCAAGTCGTATTTACATAATTCTGTGATTCTTATCCATTTTTATTCCATTCAGTATGTCTATCCTACGGAAGAGGATTAGGGCCAAGCAATAATAAAAAAAAATAAAAACCATCTTGAGATTAAAGTCATTTTAATGCGAGATTAAACTCTTTAAATTTCGAGAAAAAATGTTGAAATACAATCTTGAAAATAAACTTAATAAATATCGAGAATAAAGTCATTGTGTTTCGATAAAAAAACTTGTTAAATTTCTAAAATATAGCTTGACTAGTGATCCAACTCTGCCATGTCCTGAACACTGATCAAATGCGTTATTCTCTACATTTCATTTCGACTTTTATTCCCGAAACAAAACGGCTTTATACTCGAAATGTAATGAGTTTATTCTCACGATTATTTTTTGACTTTTTTTCTCAAAATTTAACGAGTTTTTTTCTCGCAACACAACGACTTTATTCTCGAAAATTAATGAGTTTATTCTCAAGATTGTATTTTGAGGTTTTTTTTCTCGAAACACGACTTTTTTCCTCGAAATTGAACAAGTTTTTTCTCGAAATTTAATGAGTTGAAATCATTGTCATGATTATCTCGACTTTTTTTCTCAAATTTATCGAGTTTTTTTCTCGCAATACGACTTTATTCTCAAAAATTGTATTTATTGTATTTATACTTTTTCTCGAAATTTAACGAGTTTTTTCTCGAACCACGACTTTATTCTCAAAATTTAATGAGTTTATTCTCACGAATATTTCGACTTTTTTCTCGAAATTTATCGAGTTTTTTTCTCGCAACACGACTTTATTCTTGAAAATTAATGAGTTTATTCTCAAGATTGTATTTCGAGTTTTTTTTTCTCGAAACACAACTACTTTATTCTCGATATTTAATGAGTTTATTCTCAAGATTGTATGTCGACTTCCTTCCTCGAAATTTAACGAGTTTAATTTCGCATTATAATGATTTTAATCTCAAGATGGTTTTATTTTTTTATTGTTGCTTGGCCCTAATCCTCTTCTGTACTCTCCTCCTGATAAAACGTTTTTATTTTTTAATTAATTTTTTTTGCTTCAGCCCATATTGTGCCACAAGTTTGGACCCTTTAATGGTAAGTATTCATATAATCAGGTATTTTCTGTAGCGGGGAAACTTACCTGGTTACTAGGGTCCCATGGGACAGACAGTGGCACTTCTGTCTGCTTACATGAGATGATATACTTCCTGAGGAGAAACAAAACCAGGTGAGCTCCAACTCATGAAAAGTACAGCTGAATGATGCTCCTGAAAAATGTTATATTATTTTATATTATTTTAAAATTATTTTAATTATTCCATGAAATGTTTTAATATTTTTTAAATAGATTTCAGACATTTATAATTGGAGATTTAAATGAAAATAATATTTCTAGCCAAGCCAAAAAAACAAACAAACATTAGAACTGAGCAAATCTCATAATAACAATACATAATTAACATAATCTCATAATAACATAATAAAGAATTCAATTATATAATATTTCCATATTTTCAAGGAATAACAATTCAAATCCTGACCTTCAAGTTTAAGAAAATAAAGCCCATGTATTATATTTATGGATCTAGTTTTGAGCAGTAATGCACAGTGACAGCGCCATCTGTGGGTGAGCTGAGGATGTTGCATTCTAGCAGGCTCTTCTTACTTAGTTTTGTGAGGTAATAAGCTGGAGCTCTTGTAATCAGAATAAAAATTAGCACCAGGCGTGCTACCTATCAAGTCGAATCTTCTTCCTGGCAAGAGCCTCCTGGTATCTCCTCTGTCCCTCCTGTCAAAACATTCAGAATAGCAGTCAAAATTTAGGTTTGACAATTTACAATTTCCTTAAACAGTCAAATGAGTGTTGTCATGGCCGTTCACACTATAATCTGGATTTAGATTTGGACTCCTAACCTGAGGTTCAGGTTTTATGGGAGGCAGTGGACGTGGCCTTCCTTTCTCATCCAGCACCTCAAACATCATGAATGCGCTGTTAATGTGCCTCAGAGGTTCCTCTCCATGATAGGCTTCTGCACAGACGCCTACCTCCATACTGCAAAGCCAGAGACACTGCCAGTCAGTAGACTGACATCATTACTGTGTAGTCATTAGAATCTAAATACAGCTCATGGATGCCTATTACACAAGCCCACCTGTTCTTGAATGTGTTATTGACAATGGCTTTCAGAACCAAACGATCTCCAACCTGGGACGGGCCTCTGAAGTGAAACATGTCTATGGTCCTCAGAGTAGGATGAGCATTGCATAAACGACTGTTAAAAAATGAGAGCCATATCTTGAGTTTTTTTATTATTATTCATAATAAGACTATCATGAGACAGTTTTCTTTCCTGTGCTGATGTACTTTCTATAGAAACCAGAAGATTTGGTGGGACAGACTAGTTAGTTTCAGGTGGTATTAGGGGAGAGACATTCTCATTTTAGAGAATTTAGCATTTTGCTGTCCTATTGTTTGTTTACTTGCTTCTATTGCTCTCCTCATTTTTAAGTCGCTTTGGATAAAAACGTCTGCCAAATGATTAAATGTAAATGTAGAGAGCAGCTGAATGGACGGACATCTGTGTAGTGCAGGATGAGTCATAAATATCAAAGTCAGACTGATAGTTTTTTTATGCACTGGTCTATGTTGACATTTTGGGCTATTTTGCCTCCATAACATTTCTTTCATAATAGCAGGGAAAAAATCATCCAAAATGCGCATTTAAGTGTTTTTTTTAAAATGTTTTTATTTATTAAAAGCTATCTATTTGTTTTTTTGGGGGGGTATTCCACATTCCACATTGAACCTCCTTTTATCAAATGTTCAGATTTTTGTTCTCGAAACGTATGTAAATTATTTATCATTATTAATTTAATCATTATCATTTATTATATATATGTGTGTGTGTGTGTGTGTGTGTGTGTGTGTTTATAGATATATGTGTGTTTATAGATAATTCCACATTTGCATATTTAAAAAAACTTTTAGAAAACAAAACAATTGTGTCAATGTAATGTGATTCATCAACTAGAATAGTAAAGTCAACTGTCAACTATGTTTGTTGTCAATTGTTAATTTCATCCTTAGTATAATTTATATATCTTCTAAAAGCAAATGACAACTTTTAGCATTAAATTAGCAACAGATGGCCTCAAATCCAACACACATGAACAAAATGTCACAAATCTTAATTATGATTTCATGGAGTATTTAGATAATCTGAAGTTCATGCTCTTTGTTTTAACTAAAGCTTCAATGTACTGTCACCGCAGAAGTCTCTTTTGCAGCACGTTTATGACAACAGTACAAACCTTGAACCCTGATCTAGTGCAGGATGAGGGTTTAAAGCTAAATATTAACTGCTGTATAAAAATGCACTTTACAAATGTGCGGGCACAAACCTGGCTGCAATAGTAGCGACATTTTCCATCCAAGCCATAATCTGGCCTCCGAATGTGTTGACCTGGTGATTGGCATGAGTAGGAAGAACCAGCTCGACACTTTCCACTTGTGTCTTTTCCGTCGGCACAGCCTCAACTTCAACACAGTTTTCTGCGTAACAAATAAGAAAAACAGCTCCTTAAGATGCTAAACAGATGCTTAGAGGAAACTAAATGATTGTCCAGAATGGATCATGTGCAGACGCATATAGTTCGCTCTAAAAATGTATATCGTATTATCATAATATTCTCACCCCAATGGGGATTCTAAATATCTTAATTAATTTCTTCTCACAGAAGAAAGAAAGTCATACAGGTTTGGAATGACATGAGGGTGAGAAAATGATGACACAATATACATTTTTTTATGAACTATCCCTTTAAGGCTTTAATGTAACTCGCATATGAGATATTTTTATATGTGCCAATGCGTTCTGTCTGTGACCATTAGTTTAGATGTATTGGAATATGTACTGAAAGTGGGTCATATGTAGTAGAATAGTCTCATAAATTTCTTTCTTGCCCGATAAAAGGCAGAAAATGACTTTTTAGTGCTTGTGGATTATAGACAACAATCCCCATAGTGCATTGCATTGCTCAGCTCCGCAGGCCACTCCCACTACTCCGCCCATCAATGTAGACTAGAGTTGAGCTCCACTCTACGCTACCGCCTGAAAATCAATTCACACGCGCTAATATAATATGAAAACGTAAGAGCATTAAGGCGGCGCCCGCGCCATCAGCCAGTGGATTGGCGTGATTCTATACGGGCTTCAGAAAATCGCCAAACTTACTCTGACACGTAATTATTCACGTGAAATGCAGCCAAAACTTGGAGCGTTTGGTCTTCGGCATCTTCATTAAAGGAGTAGTTCATAATTTATTTGTATTTTTAATACATTTTAATCATTAACTTTAAAAACACACTCTTTTTACGACTAAAATAACAGTCAAGGGTAAAAAAAAACAAATTCACAAAAATTAAAACGGAATTTGGGAAAAAATAAAACGGATTTCATAGGGCGCTACATTTTATGTTTGAACGGTTCCATATTGGCACCGCGTTTCGGTACCCAATGCATCCGTCTGCGTAAAATTAAACCGGTGAAATTAAATGCACTGGCACTGATCTGTGATAGGTCTGTTAGCACATTAGGTCCAACCCCCTATGGGCGGGTTTCAAAGGGTGGGAACTAGTGCTTGTAGTCTTTACAGGAATCCCCCCTCTTACA